TTTTTTGCGATATATGGGCGTTTTTGCGAAATTGACGCGTTTCCATTAGGCGTATTTTCAATTTGCAATTTCAATTTGCGCAATTTGAAGGGTAATGGTAAAATTTGAAAGGCACAAATATTTCTCATCAAAACCCGATCATATAAAAAGCTGGTCAAATGAAAGTGCAGGATGGGACTGCTGTCATGTCTTTCTGAAGAAGGAGTCCAGTGTGCCGCTGTTTCCCTGCACTCGTGCTCTCTTGGCCTGCGGGCCGCTCCGAGTCTTCATCCTACTCTTCTCACGGGACGACTGCGGCGCTCCGGCCGTCACGGGCCCGTCGCTGGAGGCCGAGGAGGACGAGAACGACTTCTGCAAGTCCAGAGCGAAATGATAGTCCATATGTTCAGGCATTTCCCAGACCAGCACCTTCAGTCCACAGCGCTCACACACGCTCACATCCTCACGGGACGCACCAGATGGAGAGGCCGTCTCACATCGAGCCGAATCGCTCCGGTCTTCAGCCAGTACTGAGCTGCTGTCTGCCAGCTGAAGCTTCTTTCTCTGGAAGAAGGAAGAGATGCCAGTGGCTTTCTGAGGAAGACTGGATGACACATGTTCATCTTTACTACCTTCCTCCACTCGCCGTTTCTTCTTCTCAGCGGCTTTCTCAAACAGAGACTGGATGGCCCCCGGGCTCTTGGGGCTCGGCTGTGTTTTGGGGGTTTGTGTAGAGGCTAGACGCGATTGTGTTGAAGGTGCGTCACTGGACAGGAAGCCTGCTATTCCTCCGGACGAGGATGAGGGAACATCGCTGAACTTACTGGCTGAAAGATGAAGACAAGTCAAAGCAGGAGACCTAAGAGAGAAACATAATCAAGACTTACAGAAATAACTCACTCGACTAGGGCTGGGCGATAAAACGATGTCAAATCGAGTCGCGATAAAATGTAATACAATAAAGATTAGCTTGTGGCTAATAGGCTAACTCTGCACATTCTGCGTGTCTCTGTGTGAATGAATGGCGCGGTTTCGTCTGATACATAAACTCAAACAGCTCACGGAGTCTTCAGCGTCTGCGTCTCAATATATGAGACATGAACACATGAACTTCATCTCCAGAGCTGCTCTAAGTGTCACTTCACAAGCTTTACTTTGAGAAATACTACCATCAAATACACACCGACACTGAAAGACCTTCACAACGGCCCGTCAAAATAAAAGTCCAGTTTAACTTGAAGAAATTATGACAGAAATATATTAATATTGTATACTAAAATGTGATTTTCAATTATTGGTAAGAACAATAGTAATATTTAATAATAATACTTATAGGAGTATCATACAAGCAAGGTATTTCTTCATTAATTTGACTAAATTAATTTGACAAAAAATAAAATGCAATGTTTTGTTGTAAATTACTTATTTTCGTTACATTTTAAAAGATTGATTAAATTGTATATGTTTTATTAATTCATTTAAATTTGTATTGAATCCTAAAACACAGAATCCAGGAATAAAATAAAATAAAACGGAAAACAGAATTTAGGGGAAAATAACACTGATTTCACGGGGCCCTAAATTAAAAGGTAGCTCTGTGGAGTTCAATTGTCAACAAACTAATTATCCTTACATTAAATTTCAAGGTCTAAAAAAAGTGTTGAAAGCATTTCCTTCCCCATTAATGGTAAATTAATATCATGATAAATATTGATATTGTATGATACGGAAAAAAATGTTGTAATATTTTTGGCAATATCGCCCAGCCCTACACATACAAATGCTGGAACAACATTAAGATCATGGGTTTGATGCCCAAGAAACATACACTGATAACATGTGGCTTTAATTGATTGAAAGATCGTTTCAAAGCAATTTCACAGTAATAAACTGTGTAAAGTTCATCAAAACAAGTTTAATTCAGCGATAAGCAGCTCTACAGGAGACAACAGTGTTCAATTGAGTCGAGTTGATGAAAAGCTAATGATTAAACCATACACATTTAAAATTAAATAAAACATTATTTTTGTTTTAAAAAGAAAAATAACTAAATCAAGATTTTATTTGTTTATACGTCTTTCGACCACTAACCAGCATCAGAGAACCATGAACATGCCAATGTGATGTTAAAGTCGTCATGAAAGTTTCAAACGTTTTTTTGGCTTTTAGTTTAGTGTGAATATTTTAGCCTTATGGTTATCTATAAATAATCTAGTCTAGTGTGCTTCAAAACTTACAGATTCTAACATCAGCCAATATGGATCAACGATTTTGAGGACGTCACCCTGCATCAATCTGCTGCTTCTCATCAAATTTTCTGTCCAATCAAATGCTCTCTAGAATCCGAAGCGTCCCGCCGTAGGCTGCGTGTCCACCGAAGCATTTTTAGCGTTTTTTCAGTAGAGACGCTGCGGTTGCTATGATACGGAATATCCGCTGAAGTAATATGGCAGATGCATCGCAAATGAAATGTTTCTCCAAGCATTATTTTTCATAACATGTAGCCCAGCAATTCCATCTAGTAAAAGACAAATACTCGGAGACAAGCAATATTAACTTCTCCATTGTTGTCCAGTCATAATACAAGCGTGACTTTTGGACTTTATTAGTCCCGCCCCTCCTTCACTGTGATTGGTCAGCTGACTAAAAAGTGACAGTGATGAGTGCGCTTCTTCAACTCTCTGTGCCGAGAAAAAATGCCCGAGCGCTCAGTGTGAAAAAGACGCTCAGCGTGCGGCACACTCTTGGCTTTTTAAAAAACGCGGCGCTCCCCTTTAAAACAAATGAAAAAATATGCCAGCCTCGGGGAAAAACACTTTGGTGGACACTCGGCTATAAAATAAATAAATAGAGACTGAAGCTGCAGCTGAAATCTGTCACTTGCAGTGTTGCCAAGTCCACGGTATTTTGGTCTACTTTAACACTGTTGCTGAGGGTTGTTTGTTTTTCATGTCCGCGGGTTGAAGCGACCCCAATAACGTGACATTTAGCCCCGGGAATGTGAATTTTACTAGGGGAACCCCAACAAAAAAAACGGGGTTTCTCATGCACACGCCATAGTCTGTGTATTTTTTTTATTTTTGGAAAGGTCCCTTTAGGGGCTCCGTAGATTTTTCCCCTGTGGGTTAAAGGTTTGAAATAGTGCATAAATTACATTTGACTGAAATGCTTGTACTGAAATATTTGGCATTCTACCTATAAAACTGCCTAAATGTTAAGGTTTGTGAAGGAGGGCCACTGGTAGGAAGCCTTTGAGCTGTGCTTATGATCAATGTGCATAACATTGACTGTAAAATATGTGTTTTAGGTATGGAAAGGACATATTTCGGGCTGTTTTTGACTGGCATGGTTTAGTTTTGTCACGCAGACCTGGCAACCCTGGCTGTATGGAGCAGAGCAGAAGCTTTCAATTTAGTGTAGGTACGTCTTCCATTTGAACTAAATAATTTTTATTTCTATAAAAAAGAAAAATGACAGTGGGGATGGGGCCGCGGTGGGAAAGTAATGGAATCTGTGTACAACCGAACACTGAGTAGCACCGACTACTGCAGCAAGCCTAGTGTTTATGTAACTCCATCATTCTTGTTATGCACCAAATTGCTGGACGGCGGGATTGCGGGACCCGTAGGGTTGGGTACTGAAACCCGGTACCAATATGGCACCGGTATGTACTAGAACCGAATCCGAACGCAGATTTCGGTGCCTCATTTCGGTGCCATGCCTGAGCGATCGATTGAAATATTTGTCCTCTGGTTCTCCGAAACGGACGCAAGAAGCATCATCACCGGCACCGCACGTGAAAATAATTTCCCGACTGAGAAAATGCACATGAACTCAAGTCGGAAAGCTCTAATAATACAGATCCAAAACATTTTTGTAGTAACGAGTGTCCATGTTGTTTTCACATTCCGACTTAAAAGCACAACTCGGGAAATGAGAGCATCCGAGGAGCGCGTGAATGCAGTAATCACACTTGCTCTGATGGCAGCAGCTAGCCTTCCGTTAACTAAGCTAAACATTCTTTAATTAAAATGCCTAAACACCAGTCCTCAACACCAGTCAAATGCTTCCTTCTGTGATCTGATGAGGCTTCTTGTCACAGAATGAGGCAGAAAATATGTTCCATACGCTACTTTAAAAAGAATACATCGATTAGCAATAGATAAATTAGGGTGACCATACGTCCTCTTTTGCCTGGACATGTCCTCTTTTTGGACCTACAAAAATGCGTCCGGCCGGGATTTCTTAATTGCCCAAAATATCCGGGATTCAGCTGTTTTCTTAATCCCACTCCCGCTGAATCTCTGACCATTGCCGCCT